AATATTGTTTTCCATGATCACAACTGTCCCTAGTTTTATTGCAAAAAACAATCAATGAATTTACGGTCTGGTTGCACATATTTTGTTATTATTGGAATTGACATATTTGTTGAAGTAGTAATTTTTGTTCCTTTTCTTTTTTTTATATCAATCTCTTAAAACCCAAACAAATCTTTCTGATCAACTGCAAATTTGTCAAAAATGGCAGCAATCAACTCAAATATTTCTATTAAGTTGCAGTACACGAAAATTACAACTTTGTCTCATCGTGATGGGATGAACTTTTCTTATAAATCCTTTATTATGGAGGCCAGTATTACTAACTTATCAGCATTATTTTTTAGTGAATATAAATTTATATTCTCAAATTATATTTTGAGCTTTTTAAGAGAAGTATAGTACGTAAAATAAAGCAATCGTAAAGTGCATTTTTTTAATACTTTGATGGTTTCTACCATAATTCTCTCTTTTTCTTTACTAGTCTCATGATACGCGCGTTGCGTGTGAACCTTATATTAATGAGTATAAATTTTGTTAAATTATACAAATATTATTAGTTAATGTGTTTGAGTTATTAAATCTATAGTATATTAAAAGAACGAAACCCCTTAGTGAAATATTGTTCGCATTTTTATCCTTTAAAATTAATTTTTAAATTAGACAAAATCATCATTTAATTATTTTTCTAATATTTAGACCTTTGAAATCAACTGAAATTTTATTATTAAATCTTTCATTATTTAAACTAATTAATAAAAAATTCTAATATTTAAGACTTTAGAATCAATATGAGTAATAATGAGTTGAGAATAATAAAATTCACTTCCTTGTGATTTCTAGATTTGTCTTCAATTACCGAAGTTATGCGATTATTAATTTTTTTTTTGAATTAATTAGAAGAATATACTTAATATAAAGAATTAACTTTAGAAGATTGTAACAATAATCTTTCATATGCTTTAAATTAGATTATTTGAGCTTGATATTCCTTTGTTAATAACTTATTTAATTACCTTAGCACAACTTTTGCAGTCTTCAACATATTTACATTTTTTCTTAGAAATATAATAAATACCATAATCTATTTGTGGTTTCCTAGTTTTTTTTAATGTCCTCTTGACTTCTCCTAAAACTAATAGTCAAATAAAAAAGTATTTCTATTTCATTGGTATTTCTTGCTTTACTTTTTTTTCTTTCCCAAAAAATGATTATTATTTTTTATCACAAATAAATAATAACTATTTTTTCCTAGCAGTGATTACTTTTCTAACGCTAATGGTGATACTAATTGTATAAATATTTGCGGTAGTAAATTTTAAAAATAGGAAAGTATAATTTAATAACCAAACTTTTAAATAAATTACTTATCGATTGACAATTAAGAATGGCAAATAGTTTGGCATGAAAGAAAATACAGAGGCAAACTTGACCTGGTATGATTAAAATATTAGGACAAAGAACACAAAAGTTATCGTGGAGTTTTATTGTTGGAAAAAGTAGGATATGGATTATTCTTACGTTTATGCTTTTACATGATTTTGTGTTTTAGTTCATATTATTAAATTGCCTGCGGTTTTTTCTTTTCTTTTTAAATAATTTATATAAAGTAAAAGTTTAATTAGCTTTAATGTCCTAAATATTAGGACTTCTTAAGGAATGCTTTAATAAGTAAGATTTTAATTGATTTTTAATTTCAAAATATTATATAAATAACTTAAATTACAATTATGTCCAATATAAAATATATTTTAAAGGGTAAAAAAGGCGAACGACATTTTGTTAAAGACTTTCGTGCTTTTAATATAGTACTAGTTTTTATGTACGTGTTTCACACATAACAACCTAACTAAGAAGAGAGATGAAAAAAATAAAACGGTAAAATAAATACAGTACCATAGACACGACTAATAATAAATACTGTTAATTTCATGCAACTTATATCTCATAAAACATCACTTTCTTAGCTAGTTCATGCCATATAGGAGCATGTTTTATTATCACTATTACGTTTTAATTATTTATATACACAAAGCGGGTAAGGAAACTTCAGTGTGCATTCATTTATATATTGAACTATAAGAACTTGTGTTTTGTTGTAGTTTTTTACTATAGGAATGAGAAAAAGCTTTTAGCCTTTAAATAGATTAGTATATAAATAGCATGTCAACAAACATGTGTGGTGAAAAGCCCTTTTGTGTTAAAATATTTTAGTATGTATTACTATCATCTTTTATGGATCAAAACTAAGAAGGATTTTACTTTCACAGAATAATTTGACAATCGACATCTCATATAGTTGACCAACATATTCAATTTTGCTTGTTATTATAGTTGTTATCATAATGTATTTTGGAGAACTTACATTTTTAATTAATGATAAAAATTATTAAAAAATCTAGCACTACCATAATTGTTGGGATTAATAACCAATTATTTTGGAAGGAGACCAAATCATCTCTTCTTATACGCTCATGCATAATTCATGAATGCTGGATCTATTCTAGCTCTTGTATATATTGTTGGCTGAATCTTTTTTATTTGATGCTAGAAGTATGATTTTTACCAAACCTCTATTTACAGTCTCCGCCCTCGTCGATTTTGGAACTACTTGTAATATTTGATGAAAAGTACCTTCAAATCTCATTACTTTTCACCAAATGGTTCATCAATTTTCATTATACCTCAAAGCTCTTGTTAACTATTTCGATTGATTAACGCTTAGCTATAAGTGCTTCAAGCCAAATTGTTAAATTTTCTTTTCTATCCCTTTTAGCACCATCACTATGTTTTAGCACAATTGTAATGGTTATTTTAATTGTTTGAAAAAGTATATTGTATCGACTACCGATAAATTATTCAAAGCAATTAAGTTTTAAGTGTACACATGTTCTAAGAACCTTTTTAACCAAGCATTACAAATAATACATTGCTAACAATATTCTATGGCCTTTTTTTTTATCTGAATATAAATTTACTATAAATCCTGAATTAGGAGACAATTCATGGCATAAGAGCATTTAATTGTGAAAATAAGCCAATCAAGGGAATATTAAACTCCGACATATATTTCATCTCAAACCTAATCTAACATGCATTGGTCTGCTTTGAGAACTTTCTAAAAAAATTAATGCTTGAAAATAAATGTTTAACGACAAATTAAAGAGAAAATAAAAGGCTATCCCTTTTCCAAATATCTTAAATTCGCACGTTTTAGAATTGCCACAGCGAAGGGAAAGTTAAGCACATCTAGTTTTAGGGTTTCTAGTTTCATAATTATAGCTAAATATCGGAATGATATTTTATTTGAATTTAAAATTCTTTGATAGATTTTAAAATATTACAATTTGTTCAAAGTAATTTTTTTTCATTAAAGAAATATATCAAAGGATATAAAAATCAGTCAATTAAACTCATAATAAGATGTTTTCAAAAAAAAAAAAAAATCTAATAACTTTAATTAATATTGGGATTACTATTAGATAGAGCACGATTGAATACTGGAACGATGAACTCCTAACAAAAATAAATAAAAACATAGCTCTTGTTTTATATTTGTTGTGGGAGTTTAAGCTTAAAAATACTCTAATTTGACTTCTAAGGTGAAGAGTATTTTAGTTTTCGGTATTTTTGCTTGTAATCCACTATCAATATCTTATTTTGATATAAGTACTTGTGTTATTTTACAGGTGAATTTGAGTGGCATTGGAACTCTATCGTTTATTATAAATTCTAAGGAGTAATGATTTAGTTGAATTTGAAGTACACGCAAATTCTTTATCGTCCAACTTCATTGTCCAAGTGAAATTAGTATGACATAGTAACTAATATTACAATTTTATCCTTTAGACATATAAAAGACAATTAATATCTTAAGGTTATTTTGGTAAACCAACATTGTATTCATACTTTTATAATAATATAGATATAGATTGGAAACAAACAACAGAATTTTCTTTGAAGATGGCTATTTCTTGAAAATCTTACGGTCATAGGTTTATAAAGTCTGCTTGGAAATAATAAGGAAAATTATTGAGTTTTCTGTCATGACCCGCCACATTATGGTGTCACGTATGTGTTATTTGGCATATATTAATGCCACATGGAAGCTTACATAGGAGAAATGCTAGCATTTGTGAGAAGATTCTAGAGAAATATGGACATTTTCTTAGGAAGACCCTAGATCCCTATAGATTTGGTAGGAAAATCCTTGGAATCTTCTAGGTTTATAGAGAGTTATAGAGAAATTTCTTATCTTGTAAATATTAAGTACCTGTGTAATAATTAATATTTACATACTAGCCCCTATGAAACTAGTATATAAATGAGTTATTCATTTGTAACTCATCAAACAAAACAATCAAGTTCTCTCTAATATAATAGATCTCTTGTCTTTATTTCTATCATTCTCTTAGCGATCTTGAGTGTAGTAAGACTTCTACCATTCTCTTAACGATCTTGAGTGTAGTAAGACTGACTTGGCATAATAAAAACGTAAGCAAATTATGCAAGATCGTGAACAGGCTGTCAAATGGTTAGTTAACGACTAAGGACGTGACATTTCCATCCATTCCTTTTCTTTATTCTTTTTGGTTAAGAGGAAAGGGAGTGAAAAGGAAATTTTGTAGTAACTTTTCTTTCCTTTTCATTTATCAGACAAGATACAAGCCATAAAGGAAACCCGATTTTCCTTCATTTCCTTTCACTTTACCCAAAGCAAATCTTGAGAATCTTTACACTATTATAGTAAAAATTATCTGTAACTGTGATATGATATTATATAATTTTTTAACTATCAATATATATAAAAGTTAAATTCAAAAAGGAATTTATTTTTCAATAGCAGTGCAAACAGACGAACGAAGAAAGTCATCACCGATAACACAATAATTACGTACAACGTATTTTTAAATAATATAGTGCCTATATTTTCTATGATAACGACCTACCACTACCACGTTCATTTTTTTTTCTTATTTTATTCCAAAATTCTAGTCATCATTAAGGAGGAATCTCAATCAAGTTTTTAGTCTACCATTATAATCACCTTTTGATCAGATAAGACTACTTTGCTTCAGTCGTTTATTCTTTTGGCTCTCTTTCAGCTTTCAGGTGAGAAAATAATGTTAAATTTTGTTCTTGAATTTCAATTTAATAGTCTAGTGCTTTTAGTCTATATTTCTGGGGTTTTGATCCATGTGATCTCTGATTATTTTCAACTGGGGTTTATTTTTTTGTGGTCATATCTATGACTTTGACTTTTTAATGATGAATTTGGGGTTCTTTGTCTGTGAGATTATTCATGTGAAATTATTTTGATCTTGGATCAAAGTTTTGAGCTTTAATTGTTCTCAGCATAGTTTCACAAAGGTCTATTTTTGTTCTCTTCTCCCTTTTTGCCATACTATAGTTTGAAGTTTTGCTCGGTTCTTCTTCATTGATTACTGTTAGTGCAAATTTTCACTAGTTTGAGACAAAAAGATTATGGCGTTTGTCCATACTGATTTGTTTGAAGGTTCATATTGTCATAATTGGACACTGATTCTTGGGGGCTGTAATTGGAATCTTACGCTTTACATTCTTGCAGTGAAATCTTTTAGGTTTTTGGTCCATTGCTTCTGTTTGTAGAAAGTGAATCTCTTTTTGATGCTCTGAAAATATTCAGTTTCATCTGAATAGGGGGTAGATGGGGTCGGAAGGGCCTTCACCTGTGATCGTTCACGTGACTGGTTTCAAGAAATTTCATGGAGTTGCTGAAAATCCCACAGAAACCATTGTAAGTAACCTTAAAGATTATATGAAGAAAAGGGGTATGCCCAAAGGGCTGATCCTTGGGAGTTGCAGCATCCTTGATACTGCGGGCCAAGGAGCGCTGGTTCCTTTGTACCAGACGTTGCAAGCTGCTTTAGGTGGTGGTGACTCTGAGTCATCTAATTCCAAAAGAGTTATTTGGGTCAGTTACTCAATTGGCTTCTTTTTACCTTTCGTGCTCAACTTTGTTCTGTTGTCCACATGAGGAAAGCGTAGCTTTTTATTTATTTTAATTAGAAAATGGTTACATGGCCGGTAATTCTGTTGGGCCGTTGTATGTCATAAAGATGGAAATTCTTCTTTCCGGAATGGACCGTTTTGTATCATGACACCGTAAGTGTTCCTTTTTCTCCTATTAGGAAATGTATTGCGACCTTCTTCTTTTATTTGGATTCGGTTAGGATATATCTCGGAAATATAATACTTCTACTACTGTCGTGTTCGATACGCAAAGTTCTGGATCTTAGTTCATTATAAAATTGATCCTTTATGAATGCTACAGGCTACTGCTTTCGTATTTATGGAAGGATCCATTTGCTGACAAAAGGGTCAACTAATTAATTTTTTAATCCTGAAAACCCGTATACTACTGTTTTTTCAGAAATTTGTCGCATGCTATGATGGGCAGTGGCACTCTCTATATACTTTAGGCTCTTGGACCTATCTGAGATGAAATTCAAATCTTATTCTGGGCGCAATCCTGAAGATGTGTACTTAAATATGCTGCTAGAAGAACTCACAAATTTACCTTAACAAAATGAGTTTGTTTCATAGACTTGGGAAAGTTATTAAATCAGTTATAACATCAGAGTTGTATTCAGATGTTAAGAAGGGAAAAGAGGAGGGATAAAGGTAGCAAATGGAAAAAATAGGGATGGATAAAACTAAACAAAGACTCTATCTTCACAAGGTAGGGGTAAGGTCTGCATACATAGTTGCATGGAGTATCATTCCATGATGGCATGAGGGAATGAAGGTTAAGGTGTTCGAGTGGCCAGAGAATGTTATGGTTATGTGCTGAGTATTTTGATGCCCAATGGTCGTACTTCATATACCATGATTAATCTAATTCTTGATAATTTGTGTTCAGGTCCACTTTGGAGTAAATAGTGGTGCCACAATGTTTGCCATAGAGAATCAGGCTGTCAATGAAGCTACTTTCCGCTGTCCAGATGAGATGGGATGGAAGCCTCAGGTCAGTTAAATGACCTTTCAGTTTTCGTTGGTCCTGTTTCAGATTGTTCAGTCCATTAACTGAACTCAAGATATTTATCCTGGTACTTGCAGAAAGTCCCTATTGTTCATGCAGATGGTGCAATTTCGCGAAAACGAGAGGTAATATGATTTTTTGCATCCATCTCTTTTTCTAGATTGGATAAATTTAATGCTTATCTTGTTTCCCAACTCTGAAGTTTCAATCAAATATAGTTGGTAGTTGATACAGATACGACATTGTTATGTGTTAGTTCATACTTAATCGAATGTTATACTCCACCTTTTTAATCAGTAAACGTTGAAGTGAGTCTGCTTTAGCACTTCATTGAATAATACACTCCATATTTTTGATTTAACACCCTGTCTTGGTTTCCAAAAGAGGAGCAGGAGGGCAAGGCCAGAGAAATTGATTGGTTTACTTCCTTCGGATGAAGTACTGATGATGAACTTCCACTTGTTTGGGAAGTAAAAGTGACGTACTTCCTCTTTTCACTGTAGTTTTGAAGGGATACTGCTTTAGCTTTTGCTTCCTACCTGGAGAAATGACCCTTATAAGTCATCATCTAAATGATTGGTTACGTCAGGAGGCAAAAGTGCTTAGATATAACTAATTGTAGAAAGGTCAGTGTTATTAAAGGCGAAAAGCGCAAAAAAGCTCTAAGGTTTATTGGGGCTTTAAGCGCAAAGCGCAAATAAAGCGTGGGTTTCAATGAAGAAAGGCGCAAATGGAGAAAAACGACAAATATGTAAGCATGAATACCAAATATATGAACAAAGAAATTGAAGAAAATTTATGATAAAGTGAAATATCAATTGTTTTGTGTCGCCTCTTCAGAATTATGCTCATTGGCAAGGAAAAGTATGCCTTAAAGCTTGATGACAACACTGAAGCGCCTTCTAAGCGAGGCGAAGCGCTCAACATGTTTTGAGCCTCGCTTCAAGGCTTAAACGCGCATTTGAAAACACTGTGAAAGGTAACTACACTTCTGGGCATCCTATGTTGGAAATAGACATAGAGCACTCGGCTGAGGAAATAACTTGTAAAGGCATTCACAAGCTTCTGGGCTTATGCATGCTAAATCTTGAGTTAAAGGCTTAATTTTCCAGCCTCCAAGGTTCTCGTTTCCTTTTTTGATCATATTATGGTGAACCTTCAAATGCACACGGAGCGTACAGGAAAGATAGGGCCTTGCCCTATGTGCTTCTTTCTCTTCCCAGGAATGAAGAACTTGATTTAAAATGTGTTCTTTATCTCAATTTTTTATTTTGTATATGTATACATCATGAAGCGCTCTTTTCCACTCCTACCACCTCAAGCAAAGAGGTTTCAAGATACCAAGTGACCAAGTGGGGAAAAAAAGCATGTCTTCTAGAGAGCGTACCTTCAGTTTCTGCTCTTTCTCTATTCTAAAACTAAAAATAGAACAAAGAGAAGAAGCAAAATATTATTCTATATACCCCTTCCATCAGATTAGATTAACTAACTGTAATTCATTCAAAAAGAATAAAGGAACTGGTTTAAGAAAGGGCTCTTAAAAGTGATCTGTAGCCTTCTCCCCTTGGAGAAGTAAGATTATATAGGTAACAAGTGTTCATAGGTGCTCGATTGCAAGAGGCCAATTAACTTATTTCTGGCATGCCTGAGATTGCTATGAGACCTTCTCCCTCTTGGAAACTGGCTAATCAAAAGGGGACACTTTTTTCCATTTTAGTTTTTTGAAATTTTTCGCGCTCTTACCTTATCATTATTATTGTGGTTTTACAATGTTTATGGATAAGATTAGGCATTGATATATATATATATCGATCTATTATTTTAGTAAAAATAAGAAATTTCGATATTTCCATGGCAGGAATAGGGTAGTTGTATTAAGAAAGAGAGCTAAGGGTTTGATAAAGTTGATAAACTAAGTTCTGGACCTGCCTTAGTCTCAAATAGGGAACAAGCTAGGGACATTACTATATGAATGAGATGTCATCTTAGTTACATGACAAGGTATATCGCAAATTCCTAATATGAGGTGACCCCATGCAGCTGAAATTCATGATAATTGAAGACATTAGAAGGCACGAGGTAGACCAAATATTAGTTGGACGGATATCATCTCAAAACACTGCATTCTCGGGACTCCATGTGCACTTAGCTCAGTACACAAAACTGTGGAAGATAAAAATCTATATAGATGATGTGAAACTAGTCAGAATTAAGGGTTAATCCTTACTCACACACTAACAGTTGGTCTAGTGTATGTTAGGAGTCTTTTTTAGCTTGATTAGAGATTTGTATGTTATTTTATAGGGGTAAGTGTGAAATTTAAAGAGCCCCTAGCTTTAGAGAACCTCTAATTCGTCTTTATATTGAGTAATTGAATAAAGTCGACCCAAATATAGCATAATAGATGTGGAGAATTTGTACTGTCGATCGAACTAGCTCTCTCAAATTCCTCTTTCCTCCCTCAAAAAGTTTGGTAGCTTTTTCTTAAGGCAGTAATGTTTCCTCTCTTAGAAAGGCAAGACCTTTGAAGTAAAACCAAGATGAGGAAGAGGCAACTTAGTAAATAAGAAGGTTTTTGGTCAATTAATTGTCGGCGTTCTCCTTAATTAGGTTATGGCTACATAAATATAGCTGGTGATATTGTTTGTGAATCTTNAGAGAGAGAGGAGAATTCCAGATAGAACATTTTTTTTGTCTTCACTACATAAGGCACTGGTTCTATATGCATTTTGTTGTGTTTGATATTGGAACTAAGATATTTTTGATTTTCATCTGTTGCTGCTCTCCTGCTGCTTAAGCAGGAATGCATGAGATGATCATTAGGAATCAATGAATGTTACAATTCAATTCTGCTGTTGGGTAACTGATCCCTGTAAGGGAGGTTTTTTTTTGAGATGGACCCATGTAAGGGAAGTATTTCGATATGCAAAATGACTAGCCTTCATCCTTATAATTCTTTTCCCGTGATTAAAATGCCTTCATTTTTTAATACTTAGGATGTGGAAAAAGCATTATGCTCAAATAATAATTAAGAGATCTTTTAATTATAGTTTGTATCCACTTGAGGAGGGTGTCATTTTAAGTAACCCAAAGTTTATGGGTTGGATACCACGTAGCAGGAGTGTGGTTGCCTCTCAAACTTCTGCAGATGTATGTTCGATAATTCTACTAACAAGAAAATAATTCAGTTATGTTTTTGAAGAGCCTTTGCATTTTGCTCACTAGACCCCCAATTTAAGTGGCCTGACACTTGGCCTCTCCCCATTCCCCCCCAAAAAAAACACCCTTCATCTGCCTATTGGTATCTTTACCTAGGAACAAATTATTTATGTTTGTCTTTGCACCTATTGGTATCTTTACCTCTTTTCTTACACTCTGTTCGCCCTTTGTCTAGACTGCTCTTCCCGTGGAGGAAATCACCAAGGTATTGGCAAAGATGGGATATGAGGTAATGACCTCTGATGATGCAGGCCGGTTTGTATGCAATTATGTATACTACCATTCCTTGCGTTTTGCAGAGCAGAATGGAATCAGATCACTATTCGTACACGTGCCCCTGTTCCTAACCATAGACGAGGAGACACAAATGCAATTTGCTGCTTCTTTGCTGGAGGTACTTGCCTCTTTATACTAATCTACTGCGTATGTGCCCAGAAGTGTATTTGCCTTGTTATTTATGCTGTGTATGCAGAAGAAGGTTTATTTGGATATAAATGTAATGCTTTAATAAACAGTAAACTTTTTTAGTGAATGGCAAATGCATATGGTATTTATACTATCTTCCTGGACATTCTTTGGGTGGTTATTCGCTTGGTTTTAGAGATGTTTCTTGCTAATGCGTTAGCAAACTTGCAATCTCCTTTTCAAAGTACTGGAAATGGTAGAAAGTTGGCCTTCAATTTATGTTCTTGTATTTAGTGTGTTTCTTTTCGTGTAACATTGAAGGCAGAATAGCCTAAATGACACCTATACTTGTGCCACTTTGTCATCCCGGTCCCTGTATTCAATGAAGTTTCATCCAGAAACCTGAACTCAGTCAAAACATGTAACCGTTGACCGAGCTTACGTGTCATTCATTTTGCTGAGTCAGAAAGATGACTGGTTACGCGCTCTAAAAAGGAGAGTGGATGTATTTATTTTGATTTAAAAATATTAAAAATAATAAAGAATAACCATAAAAAAGAAAGAGTAAATTAATTTCCCAACCCAAGTATCTCTACCCCTTTCCCAACCCTTCGGCCTTATTTCCCCCGTTTCTCCCCATCTTCTTCTCCCCCCTCTTTCCTATTGTAACCCCCCACCCCCACCCCTCTGCCCTTTGTGGATAGTTAGCAACAAAATTAATAGTATAAAAAGCAGAAGAATTTTCTTTTAGGAAAGCTAAATAAACAGATTTGTTAATGGGGTTAAAGTTTTTAAAGATATCAAGAAGCTATGACCAAGTAATTTTCGTGTTCATCGGTCCATTGTGATTATGGGCTTTCCAAAGGAGTCCGGTGAGTGGAGAAATAGGTGGTGGAGTCCGCTAGTGATTATTTTCCAGCGATCTGGTTTTGCTTTGTGGTGGTCGGCAGTGAAATACTTCCAGCGATGTAGTCCTTTGTTTTCTAGTGATGGTACGCTGCTCGTTGGTTGTTGCCCCTTTTTGTGTCTCTGTAAATTCTAAGATTACACTGGTAATCTGAATTTTACCTAAAATAGTGAGAGTAAGGAGATGAAGCAAGATAAATTTTTTTTTTTATCAAAATTGAAGAGTTTTATGTATATGAATTGGGGTTTAAGATTGTGCTTAGAAAGGAGGAAAGAGAGCAAAACGGTGGAGGCGACTCCGATTTTCCGGTTGTTTCCCGGTGATAAGGGTCGCCGACAACATAGGAAAATGGGGATGGATTTGAAATATTATTAAAAATTACTTTTTAAATAAATAAAGATGTGGACATGATATTTTCTCCACGCCAGGCGAGTGACCAACACGTAATGCTGAAGGGGTTTAAAATACATGTTTTGACTGAGTTCAGGTGTCTGGATGAAACTTCAGTGAATACAGGGACCGAGATGACAAAGTAGCACAATTATAGGTGTCATTTAGGCTATTCTGCCAACATTCGATGATTCATGTGGTTGATGACAGTAACGAAATTGGGGCTGAAACCCAGAATGGATTAACATTGCTTTTAGATGGGTCACCCAAATGGCAACGTAATGTGGACTTGATTGGTGGTGCCAGGGGCGGGAGCCAACGAAGAAGTTAGGGGTTCATCTGAACCCAGCTTAGTGTCTTACCTGTATATTTGTTAAAAATTCAGCTAAGTGTAAAAATAGGTTTTAAACCCAGTAAATTAGATATGATGTCTTACCTAAAATAAAAAATAAAAAATAAAAAAATTAGACGTGATGTGGTAGACTTCCGAATTTGATCTCATAAAGTTTAAATTCTGGATACGCCTTTGGGCGATGCGGTCTAACAAACTAAATGCTAAATCCCTTAATGCTTTTAATAGCATAAGAAATCTGACAAAAGAAAAAAACTAGATACTTAGATTTGATTACTGCAAATATTCCATTGATTGGTTAATGGCAAGAAAAAAATCGAAAAATTTCACTGTTCTGCATGCCCTCAGGTATCTAAGAACAAATATGAGGGATAAAGAGCCAAGAAACTTAAACTTATCGGTCATTTTTACACACACAAAAAAAAAAAGATACGAGACGGATTAGAAGGAAAAATTACCATCAGACAGTGTTTGCATCAAAACCTAGCTAATCTTAAAAGCTACAAATTAAGTGAGACCACATGTTACTTGACCATGGGTAGGTATTAAATCCTTATGTAAATCACACATGTTATGTGTTTATTGGTTTGATTGAAACATTGGGTGTGGGTAAACTTTTTCTGGGGCTAAAATCTTTTAGATAAATTGTGAAATATCAGTTGCATTAAATGGTGGAAGGATGGAAGCACCAAGTCTCTTTTGAACTGAAGAATATCCTAATCATCTTACTCTATAATTGCGAAAAAGTAATCAACTGAAGTGTTTTTAACCTAAAGAATCCCTAATTTTTGACATATACTTATAAGCACATGACCTTCAAAACAACAACAACAACATATTAAGCTTCTGTTTGGCCATAAAAATTGAATTTTTTTTTTCAAATTTTGTTTTGAAATATTTGTTTCTTTATAGATTTTAACCATTTTTTTTTTTTGTAGATTTTGAAAATAAAATCTTCAAATCCCAAAAATAGCTCTAGAATAGTTTTTGGAGTTTTTGAAATTTTCTACTTACAAAATTTTAAATTCTTTTCAAGTAAAATGATGTCCAGGCACAATTTCACCATTCAAAAATTATTTTTTATCTCATCTTCAAAAACTCATTTTTTTCAAGTTTCAAGTCAAATCTATGTCCAAATGCTAGCTAAGTGTGGTCCCACAAGTGGGGTATGAGGATGATAATATATACACGGACCTTGCCCCTACTTTGTGAATGTGGAGATACTATATCCGATAGACCTTCGGCTCAAGAAACACACGTAAAGAGTCAAAAAGGAGATGACAAGCTAAGTTATCAAAGGGACTTTTTCAGTTGAGTTTCGCGATTTAACAGAGATGCATTGTGTTAAGTGAGTCGTTTTAGAAGATTTATCTCAAAACTGATCAGGTCAAATTTGACAAATTTCTAAAGGTGATAGAACTAGTTGATTTGGGAGAAGAAGTAGGTTCCATTGTGCACCGGCCACAAACTTTTTCTGAGCACGCCCCTACAGCAACTCTGTATTAAAGTTAAAAGTGGTACATTTTTAACTTGTGCTAGTAATTTAAATGCAGTATATGTCGTATTTGAGAAGTTGGACAGGGATAAAGTACAATAGCCGCAGCCCCACAGCCGCCGCCTTCCTCCATTTGCTATGTTTGGGACCTCTCAATTTTCCATTTATAATGCCGCTGCCACTATTCCCACATTGATTGAATACTCTAATCATTGCATGTTCTTTAATTCTTTATGTCAACAGATAAGTTACACAATTAGTACTATTTTATTTTTCACGTTATCATATTCTATAGATTTAGTCGCCAAAATATTCTAACTTCTATACGTATATCTACTCAAACATACGGCCGCCCCACGATCAATCAAAGTACTCATACTTTATCTTTTACACAGATGATGTTGTAATTGCCGTTTCCTTTACTTTTCTTCCCTTGTTGAGTAAGAATGACAGTGTGTTGCACAAGAACACTACAAATTAAAGGGGTCAAAGGAAAGACTTAAATGAGAGCTAGACTTGCTAAATTATTACCCTTACATCTGTTTGTGGTTGAAATACATCATTACATACATGAACTATATATATCACCAAAAAGGACTAATGTGGGTTACTCTTATATCCACTCAAAATCTTCTCATGTGGGTGAAAGGAAAAGCATTGTGCAGCCTCTGCTCGTAACTAATTTGAATCACTAGTATTTGGCTGCATGTTACCCAAATAGAAAAGCCGTTGTGCGTCTTTTACTCAAAGAATTTCTACTACTAGGGACTTCTCCACTTAGCCTACAAATTACCTACGTGCACGCTATCCTACCTAACGTAAAGGCGATTGCCAAGCCTATTTTTCTAGTATATAACTGATAGTATACAATTTTTACATTATAACTCAGAATATTTTTTTTATGTGACTATTAGAAGTTAAACTCTGTGTCTTTTTATTCACACTTTATGTCTTTAGCCAATAGCCATGGAGCAAAATCAGGAAAAGTTCTTTTTAGAATGATTCATATTACAATACATTTCGTTCCTTTCTAAAAAAACTTTTGGCATGTAGCGAATGACAGGTGTGTGGTTTAGTTACTTCTTAAATCATTAAATGGTGAAAAGTGACAAAGTTCTTGATTCCTTTCTATTGCATTTCATAGACATCCTAACATGGTCTAAACGCTGAATTTTGGTTTCTTTTACTTTCGCTAAGCTAGAGATCAGGTAAACCATTCATTTGCAGAAAAAAAATATCAACTTCAACTCTTCAAGAGTCAAATGAAAATAGCAGCAGTCAAAACACCCAAGTTTAAGGAATTGAGAGACATAATTTACTTGTTAACGTAGATACATTGACACTGTAAATTTTATTAATATGTACTTTAACTTATTGTAACACATAATCTGTCTGATTTTTCGAGTTATTAAGTCTATTTTTGAGCAATCTACGCTAAATGCCTATGCAACTCCAATTTATTAACCATTTTATCCATTTTAAAATCATTACAAAACATACTCACCCCACTAAAACTTATTACTCTTCTAGCCAAACTCCAATCCTTAAGTCACACAAAACTCCTAAAGCTAAACTGCCAAACTTTCCTAGCTATTCTTTGGTTAAACAACCAAAAGTAAAGTAATTTTCTTTTAATTCTATTTTTTCCAAGACTATTGGTTTTGGAAAGAGCTAAACTTTTTCTTTATTTCTCTCCTTCTTTCTTTCAGTTTCAATTTTAATTTCAGTAATGAATTAGCTGCTAATTTGTTTAGTATTTGAATTAGCTGAGCACATGATTCAATTATGTCAAAATTTCATACCTTAAAAAAAAGTTAAACTCCATGTATATGAGTTTAAAATTTCAGATCTGAATTTTCATGTGTGTTTTATTGTTGGAATTCAATGGGTGTTGTTCTATGATATGTAGATTGTAGTGTTGGTGATGATTTTTGGAGATTTTATTGTGACAAAATTAGATTTGTCATTGGAGGATCTTGAAGCTTGAAACTCATATATTGGGTTTATGGAGTTTGTAGTTATTTTGATCTGATTCTG